AATCTAAGCGAAAAACACGAGATGTACTACACGTATGATCTGCCTGCCCACACAAGGTTGTCCTTGGTCTTCAAACACCTAGAGGAAAATATGGATCGGCTAAACATCACGGACTACAGCGTAATGCCCAAGACTATTGAACAAGTGTTTATGCATATAAGCAAAAACGCGTAACTTTCGGAATTCGATTCAGACACAAATACTCACTGTCGAAGCAGGAAATCTGTCTGTATTCCTTTTGTTTAAAGAAATAATTTATTAAATTAATGAAACTGTGTTTCTAAACAATGCAAGTAAATAACAAACAACATTAATTACAAGTGGATGACCGTAGTTTACATAGTTATCTCTAAATGAACGTACCTAGAGTACTTGGATTAGACAGGGAGGCCGCCGTATATATATATTTTCTCACGTATGTCTAGCCACTAAATTTTAATAATGTACATATAATTATCCACTTTAATTACCCGTGGGAAAGCTTTCTATATTTGAGGCCAGATCAAACATGTTTTGTCAGGTTTTTTGTGTTCCATAAACTAAAGATTTCCCCCCAAATAGCCACATCATGGGATACGGAGGGGGAAAGCAGGAAACAAAATACGTAATTTTGTTTTCTTATTTATACTAAAACGTTGATTCTATCTGAAACATTTTCTTATTACGATTGTGTTTTTTCTAACTTTTGGGGAGTATATGCACGATAGTGGGAGACCCCGAACAACTATGGGGTATCCTCTGTGTACTGATATATGAATATACGATCTAATTTTTGTGCTGATATAACAAGTGTTTTTCGCCGTTTTCCGTGCCGCACCCCCTCACGTGCGGGATTACCTTATCCACATTTCCACCCCTACGTCTAAACTACAGCAAGCGTCTGATCTTCATCGACGCAAATTATCTGTATGGAACGTTGAATCGGTCAACGGCTATGCCATCCTGTGCGAGGGCTATAAATCCTTCCCACCTTGATCCGACTGGCGCACATCCGAGGAGGCTATCTTACCTTTTCGCATGCGTACGTGATGGACGAGATGAAGTGGGGCAAAGAGCGCTACGACGCGATCGTGGGCAAGTTGCGCCCCTTCCTTCGCCAGAGCGGCCACGAGCAAATGAACAAGAACCTCGTCTTGATTCCGATCGCAGGTTTCACGAGGTTCTATAACCATCCTTCACATCGACTCCGGTCTCTGCCGTGGTGCACTGGGCCTACACTGATGGAAATTGTCGATGGAGTTCACCAATGCCGCGCAGGAGGGGGCTCATCCCATGAGCCGTTGGCTAAGATGGATCGGAAGATAGGTGAGCGTATTGAGGGTAATTCCGTGTGCGTGAGTGCTGGGGACGTGCTGATGGTGTGCATCGGGTTGGACTGCCCCATACTTGCGAGGGCGGAGGAACCTCCACGATCGATCTTGCTGCAAATATGCACGAATCGCCTGGCGAAGGTAACGTTAGTTGAAGGAACCCAAACGCAAAGGAATGCGGCACAGCGACCAAGCAAAAAGGGCAACCGTTTCTAGTTGGTGTTCTAACATTTTGTTTGACGCATGAATTAGTATTCGTTATTTTTTCTTGTAATCTTACAATGTCTCAAGTTTCTTTTTAGCGAGCTTAAAGTTGAGTGCGTAGTTTTCATGAGAAAGAATTTACGGTGGATTCAGTGTTTTGTTGGATGTGAAATAGTTACTGCTTTCTTTTTTATCACTATTTTATTTTCCATCATCATAAATAATAACCCCTTTCTTTTTGAGATTGTGGCTTTTTGTAATATAATTACAAATTGTAAATACTTTCTTTCATTTTTTTTTGTATATTTTGGAATTGATCTCACCTTTAATTCATTGTTTATTACTTCCATCCACTGAATTCTTTCGTCTATGATGTGTACTCTATGGTGGAACATCTAAATGGTTTGGATTATAAATACCCTTAATACGTTTTATTTCTTGCCCGTTCCGATGAATCTTATGGTATGAACGCATGCCATTATGTGAATCCTTCATGTATTACTGTGATATTTTTCCTCCGGTTCTTTGAATGTAAATCTAGTGATGGAGAAGCTGCCTTTTAAAAAAAAACATATAATATCCACAACTAAACATTTCAGTAATGAATGGTGACATCTTTACCTCAACGGACGGTAACCGAGGGAGGCTCACTATCGCAACCCTAGCTGAAGAGGCCTTCACTGGACGTTTCTTGCACCAATTATCGCATAATCAATCTACCTTATCCTTTGATATAGTCCAGTAACATCCTCTCCCCTCACTAGAGTTACTCAGCATTCCATGCTTCGAAAAGTGCCTTTGGTTTGAGGCAATTGTTGGATCCCTCGCCAGGTTGCTTGGTGCATCGAGCTCGATATATCAGGAAAACAAACACTAACGCGGCAGCAGATTGTTATTAATAATACGAGCTTCCTAATAACTATGAAAAAATAAGCATAATGAGTTAAGGGAAAATCTATAAAACGGGAAGTTGGTCGGTCATCTAGTAAAAGGTTCGACTTGACACAAACAGTGGTTATCAGCTAATTTTTTTTACTTATAGATAATTGAAGTATATAAATAAATCAAGTCAACGAATCTCCCTTTATGTTATTATGGGAGAATCTGTATTGTTTATACGCAGCAACAGGAAAATATTTAGTAGCATTTTAAAGTGTGAAAAAATTCACAAAAAAAAATCAGGGTCATATCTAAAGAATAAACATATATATATATAATCTCATATTTAGCAAAACGAGCTTGTCTACTGAAGACAGATTAGGTCAACAATGGAGAATGTACATGTAATACGGTGGGTTAAATAACACTTAGAACATTCATCGAGGCCGCCGTATTGCTGCTATCTCCATAGGTCTCATATCATTAGTTAAGCACTTAAAATGCTAAGTAAAATTTTATTTTTTCCGAAAAAAAAGCATTAACACATGTGGCAAAGCGACAGTGAGCCTCATTTCATGCATATATACAACATCAAAAACTGGAATGAAAGCGAAAAAAAAATCTTGATAATAATTTAAAACCTCTTCATGCGGATAAAGGGCATTCATCAGATGCTGCATCAAGAAAGGAGTTAATAAAAAAAGATTCAGCAATTATATATAACTAAATAATAATAATCGAGAAAAATATGATTTACCTTGCAGATTGAATAAAGCAAAAGTTAAAGAAGTGCGTGTTCTGTCGTTCGAGGGTCGTCTCAGTATGCGGCCTACCGTCCATGGGCGACCCCGCAGGGCGCGAAGAAGCGAGACCCCCCCCCTTTAAAAAAAAAGGAGCAGATCCGAAAACCAAGAACAAACACATTTATTAATTCCCCCACCCCTCCTTTTTTCTTGTTTCTCATCCCCTTCGCCTTCCGGTTCAGACGATCTTGACGGCGTCGGGGACGAGGTCCTTGACTTTCTCTCGCGGGGCGTCGAGGGTGCGGAGCCGGGCCAGGCGGCCGAGCACGCGCCACTCGCGGATGCCCTCGCAGCGGGTCAGCGAGAGCGCCTCGAGCCGGCCGCAGCCCTCGAGGAAGGACAGGTCGGCGATCCGCGAGCGGCCGGCGCAGAGGAGGTGGAGGCGGCGGAGCTGGCCGACGGGCCCCCCAGTCCGAGATCGCCTTGCAGGCCACGACGTGGAGCTCGCGCAGGGCCGGGCAGGAGACCACGAAGGAAAGATCCTGCAGGCTGGAGTAGCTCGCGAAAAGCACGCGGAGGCGGCGGAGCTGGCCGACGGGCCGCCAGTCCGAGATCGCCTTGCAGCCCCCGACGTAGAGCGCCTCCAGGGCGGGGCAGGTCGCGAAGAAGGAGAGGTCCTGCAGGTTGGTGTAGTCGGCGTTGAGGACGCGGAGCCGGGGGAGGAGACCGACGGGCTGCCAGTCCGAGATCCCCTCGCACTTGCTCAGGTGGAGCTCCTCGACGAAGCGGCAGGTCTGGAGGAAGGTGAGGTCCGGCAGGTTTGACCCTTCCGCGCTCAGCACCCGCAGGTGGTGGAGCTCGCCGAGGGGGTGGTAGGACCCGATGCACTTGCAGTTCGCGAGGTTCAGGACCTCGACAAACCCGCAGGCTCGGATAAAACTAAGATCTTTAATCGGCATCGACGCGAGGCTGAGGGAAAGAAGATTGCGCAAATACCCAACCGGCGCCCAGTTCGAAACCCCGGCACACCCATCTAACGAGAGCTCCTCCAACTCTGTGCAGTGCTTGAAAAAGGAAAGGTCGTGAATGCTGGAGAAGTCGGCGTTCAGCACGCGAAGGTGCTTCAACGTGCCCACCGCTTGCCAATCTTGGATTCGCGTGCAGTTATTCAAGTGCAGCTCCTGCAGGAAAGGACAGGAGGTCAAAAAGCTGAGGTGTGAGAGATTCGAGCACTTCGCGGCGAGAGCGCTGAGGTGCGGGAGGCAGCCGATCGGGGTCCAGTCCGTGATATTCTCGCAGTAAGACAGATCCAAGTGCCTCAGATTCGGCAGCCATCGTAGCCAGCAGAGATCGCTCGTGGAGGAGGTGGTTCGGCTGGGGTTTAAACATACCACCCGTCGTAGGAGGGCCTTGTGGTGGGGAGTGAACCCCATCATCGCGTTCAAAGCTTTCTTGGAGAGGTCCATTTTCGTACAGCTGATTGCGAGTCCGGCGTCGGGTCGTGAGGTGGTGACCCACCACACCATCGCTTTCCAGACTTTTAACGAGGCGTTTCCGTGGAGGTCGATCTCCCGCATGGGGGCGTCGTCGGAGTCGTGAAAACGACTACGAAGGGGGCCGAGTTGGAGGCCGTTTCGCGTGCTTTCGACAGCTGTGCGGGCTTCACGCGAGACGGCGCAGAGTGAGAGCGGGACCGCCCCGCCGCCCCGGCCGTAGGCGGCGATGACGGAGATGAGTTCCATCAGCGGAGGTCCAGCTGATGTCCATCGCTCCTCTTTCAAAAGGATGGATGGCATTAGATTTGAAAAGAAAAGGGAAAAAAAAAGAAATACAAAAAAAAGACCTTTTGGTTGGTTTTTGTTTTTTTGTCTCTTAGAATTTTCAATAGGTGTGCACATTGAGAGAGAAAGGGAGGGATAAAGTGGGGATACGTTGCTTCTTATATGGGGTGGGTTGCAAATGCATTGGGAAGGTGCTACTGTGGGATCCTTCTTACAAGTTCTTACATTTGATTAAGCAAAAGTGGGGTAAAATTCGATCCTAATCAAGGCGTGGAGAGTGTCATTATATCTATATATATATATATACTGCCATGTTTTTTTAAAGGAATATTATCAAATATAGGAGTGTTTTTTCTTCCTTTATTTATATTTCTATTTTTCCCTTGTGAGGGAGAGGAGTAGATTATAGTATCGATTGATTAATATGCTTCTTTAACAGTTTATAAATGGTTTCCAACATTTTATTTAAACAAGGCTACGCCGTCCGAAGTTCCCACCACCTGCACTTCGCTTGTTCAAAATTTTGATAAATTTTCTTTAGAGTGTACCTTTTCCAAGATTTCTTTTACCGCCTATCAGTACCTCCTGAGTTGTTTTTAGATTATTGTCATATTTGTATGCCTTCCAAACACACTCTTACTTCAGAATAAAAACCCTTGGCTTTTTAAAGCTGTAGCCGCACACCAATCGATAAATAACAGCAATAGACAATCATTTATCCCCTCATCCTGTAGGTGTTGATATGGTTCTACTTTCAAAATATTGTAAATCCTTTATTATCTTAAACGTTCTCGTGGATTTACATAGTAACTTTTAAATGGCTGAATTTTTGTCATGATAACATACCCTCCCCTCATTTTTGTATGCATAGATGGACATAACAACCCCAAGAATAAAATTGCTATAACGAAACGCCCCTCACACCGGGAGCTTTCCAATCTTTTCCACACGATATTGTGTATCCTGATGGAGGTAAACCTCCCCTCGAAGGCCTGGAAGGTGAACGACACCGCTTTCGGCCTCCGCCAACACCATGCAGGGGCCAAAAAGGTGGTGGGGATAGGTCAGCCCGCCAATCGTGCAAAGCGAGGCGTTGAGGTTTTCAATCTCAATTAGCCCATTTTCCATCTCCGGTAAGGATGCTTCCTCTACGAGAAAAAATAAACCAGAAGATTGAAGGAAATGAAAGAAGAAAAAGGGAAAATAAGGAAAGAAATATTAAGAAAATACAGCGTCCATATCATCACTTCACAGCGTATAGTACTGACAAACTCACTTTTATTATTATTTGAAGTTTCTTTAGCTTGTCCTCATATTCGATCTAGACTCCAATGGTAATTACCCCTTCGAGGAACTTCAGTAAGCTAACAGAGTATTCGATTCATAATGCATGCAATGAAAAAAAATGAGATGAAAACCATCCGTTTTTTCCAAACAAACCCATCCCCCCTTTTTATCATTCAACATTCTGCCGCTGTAGAAAAGTGTAAATCATTAAAATGAAGATACTTCAGCGCAAAAACCTCTCGCAAGGCGACTAGCGGCGAGGCGTCTGCGGGAAGCATGAAAGAGAGAGCAACCGAATAATTTCCCGAATGAACTTGTTTGACCAAGGCCAACCGCTCCGCAAAACGCTCGGAAATGTTATAAATACTTGGCTCCCGCACCCGATTGGCGTAGTCCAAATCCAAATGCTCCACCGCTTTGCGTTCCTGGAGCAGAAATAAATCACTTTTTAACGCGGTAAACGACGAAGGATCGTAAATCATCGACGCGGATAATTTGTGCGGTTTTCGCACAATTGGTCGATACGTTATCGGCTCCCAATTTGGCTTTTCCCCGATTGAGGCGATTTCCGTTTCGGGATGAAATAAAAACCCCAGCTGATACCGCGCGGCAAATTCTTCAAATAGGGCGAAGTTGAGCGCGCCGATGGCGGGGAAAACCGCGCGGGCGAGGTCCGACCCGGGGTAGGGCACCGGCAGCACCACCTCGTCGATGGTGCGCGCCCGCGCCTCTTCCGAAGTGCGCACGCGACGGACTTCCGCGGGGGGATCCCCCACCGCCTCGTCCCCGACGCGAACGACATCCCCGACGACGACCTCCCGGCCGTGGCTGAGCAGCCGCTGCGAGGCCATCGCATTCCACACGAACTCCGCGGCGCTCCGCCGCGCCGCCGCCTCCATTCCCCCCTCCCGCCACGCATTCTCCAACTCCGCGAACCCCTCCCCGGCCCTTTCCGGGGCGCTCGAATGCGCTCGTTCCCTCTCGTTTGGGGCCCCCCCTTCGCCTTCGCCCTTCGCACCGGCGTGGTGGCGGTGGAGGGCGTCGGGCAGGCGGCAAATGGCGGGGGCCGCGCGGAGGGCCCGGGTTTCGCGGGCCCACGCCTCCACCACACCGGACACCCCCCCGGGGGCCGCGTTTACGTACGCCGTGAAGTGCGCGAGATGAAAGGGATCGGCCTCGGCGAGGGTCTGCAAAACCCCCCCGACCCCGCGCGGGAAATCCCCGCGCGCGGCGAACGCGGCGACCTCGAAGGCCCGATTCGCCCCCACCCCGAAGCGCTCGATCCCGAAATAGTTCACAAAGCCGTTTTCCGTCCACGATTGAAGGACCTCCGGGATGGGAGGGGGGTTTGGGGCATTCGGCCCCACGGCGCGAAGAAGAACGCGATAAAAATACGCCCGCGGCGGGGCCGTTAAGGGCCCCCAGGCCTCCAATGGGTAATACTTTCGTGGATCGATAATTAAAGGGTGCAAAGCGTAATGCCGGGAGAGATGGACGATCTGCTCCTTGGTGATCCCCACCCCGGCGGCGAACTGCGAAAGACAGCCGTAGAACCCCCCGGGGCCCTCCCGCAGCGTCAGTGCCGCCTTTTCCACGCCTAATTCGCGTAAAAATCGATGATAAAGATTCCCCACCGCGTTCGAATCGCGGTAAATCATAAAATGCAAAACCGGCTCCGCCGTCGGGAGCCTTCCGTGAAGCGGCATATACGTCCCGTGGCTTTGCACGCGCGGGGAAAAGGTTTTATCCGGGCTCCCGAAGCTTTCCAAGGGGGAATTTTCCACCAGGAGGGTCTGCGCGCGGGAGAGTTTCCGCCAACGCGACCGCGGCCGCCGCGCGAGAATAGCGGCGGCGGTAAATAACTCGTTTGAGTGGATTTCATTTACTTGGAAGTCACTCGATTGGCCCTTGATCACGGCATTCCACAATGGAGAAGATGACGAAGCCGAACTCGAAGTCGGATTCGGCTGCGAGGAAGCCCCACGCGTGGGAATCTCGCGCATCCGCAAAATCATCCCACACTCCCGTTCTTCAGAGGAGATATCGCGTCCCGTCGCCCAATCATCCCTTCCATAGCCTAACTTAGCCGCCATATGACTAACATTAGTACTACTAGTTTGGGAATAGGAGGGAGAAAGGTAGCTTAAGGGTGGGCTGATTCGATAAATCGGACCTCGTGGTAAGACCTTCATGCCTAAAAAACTATATATCGCTTAGTTATAAATAAATACAAATATATAATAGAAGGTAAAGTAAAAAATATTAAGCATAGCAAATGATCATTCAAGTTTAAAACCCCCTACCTCCCTTACACACATGCATTGATAAAAAGTACTTCTGTCTCGCTTAAGCGCACATGAATATTCTAGAAAGTGATGAATCTTCCACCCAAGGGTTCAGCTCGTAACAACTTTCATAAGCCTTCGCCCTCCTTCAACCATATAAAGGTTTGTTAGTTTTCATTCATGTTTTTGTTTGAAACTTCTTTCCAGGAAATTCAATCAACTCAACATCCCCCAGGAAGCCTTTTTCGACTTCACATAACGCTCTACAACCCCCTCCACGCCGTCTACCGCGTATGACGCCTCGTGCTCATCCTTCCATGGCTCGTACGGGTTATCGTAATAGCCGTTGTACATTTCTTGCTCCACCTCTTCCGTGCGCGCCGCTGCCTCCATCTCGATCGTTTTTAATTTCGGTAAACAATCCCCAAGTACCTCAGTTTCAAAAAAGCTTCCCTGCTCCGGGAGCTGCTGGCGAATATGTGGGGGAAGCATCATCAATTTATGCGCAAACATCTCTTCCTCGAGCTGCATAAGGGCACCCTCCGTGATCACCAGTAGGTGATGGGCGAGCGCATCGTAGACGTTAAACCGATTGATCGGGATCGGATTTTTTGGTCCTTTTGGGCCCTTAAACCGCTGCTTTGACGCAGTCCAGTTATAATCGTAGGAGTCATCGCACAAAAAAGTCGGCCGGACGACTTTGTTTCGCCCGTTAAAAAAGCTCCCGAAGAAAAACGCGCGGTCAAACTCAAGGCTCGGTGTCAGCCGCGATCCCCCGTCCATAAAAAGCACCCCGCCGCCGTTATGCCGAACATCCCACCTCATCCGTCGACATAGGCGTAAGTAGGCTTCCTGCGTCGGATCCTTTTCCTCCGTGTTATCCGAGTTTTTTGCATCCCCTCCCTGCCTTCCCGTTTCCCCTGCGTCGTCCCTTTCTTTGATGAGGGTCAGTCGCTCGACGATCTGAAGCTTCCCCTGGAGCATCTTCAACGTTGCTGCCATTCGGCAGGCCCGGCTCCAGGTATGCGTGTCCATCACCGGCATCCTCATATTCCACGGCTTCACCGGCAGCGTCTGCCCCCCCCAGTTGTAGTCGTGGTGCTTGCGGTCGCTCACGCGGGGCATGCCGAGGCCGGTGTTCGGCCAATTCTTCCGCGCCCGCCGCCAGATCTCCCGTCGGTCGTAGTCCCACATACTGGAGTAGTTTCGACAGCGAGAGAGCCAGTAGTCCCGGGCGTCCGCCAAGACTCCTGTTTCGGGGTAGAACCCGAAGAGAAAAGGATCGAGCTCGCGGGTGTGAGTGACGGCGCCGTGGAGGTTGTAGACTGGGGCCACGATCCGGGCCTTCATAGTCCCAGGAGGGTAGATCAGGGGCCGAGATGGCCCCAGGTGGGGGAGCTCCGCCATGGCCTCCGTCAGGTACGGGTGCGGGCGTGCCGGGGAGGGCAGGAAGGGCGAGACCAGCGCCCGGGTGATGGTGTTGTCTGGGTGGAAAAGGGGAAGGGGGTGGGCCCCGGGGAGGACCTGGGCGGGGCCCTCGTAGGGGAAATCGGGGGTCTCGCGTGGGGCGATGTCATGGACGCCGGAGCCGCGGGCGTCGTAGCGCGCGCTGAAGAT